CTAGGGAACACACCGATCTAGTTAGGGAACATGCTCGTCCCATTGTGCCTTGGAGCAACCAACAAAAAATAACCGACCCGTAGTTTGACGGCAGAGTGTTGTACTCCACGACCAAAGGGTCGCGGGTCCGAATTCCGGGTGATCCACACCTGGGCTTTGGTAAGACGGTTGATGACCGCTAATAAGCCAGAAATGGTCATTTCGGTCTCTGTTGGCTTTGTTGGTTCCATTCCAACAAATAACTGACCGTTTACGGAAAAACTGCTAGACTGTTATACAATCGGTGTGCCACAGTATCCTGGAGACACTTAGATTCTCCGATTACTATGTTCAATGCAAGTAACTCCTAGCGGAGGCTGGTCCCAAGGCAGTGGTTTGCAAAATTGTCCACAAGCTTGAAGTCGGTCGAGCATATTGCCCATGGAAATACTTTTGTCCAGTTAAATACAACGGGCCGCAATCAACATCTGAGCAAGGTGGCGATCAAAGGGCGGAAGATGATTTCACTACATCTTGTTGCAAAGCCCCCAGACTGGCATTACCCTTATCGCAATAATCGCACGCCACCCATGCCTACACCGTTCGCTGACTTCACTAGCTTCCTTCATAAAGTTGTCTCGGTCTCATCAGTGGCGCACGGATATTTGTACCGTTTCCTATGAAGTGTTTTAATGCATGTAGCGCAAATGGGAGTCCCTTCCTGTTCGTAAATTTAAAAGCGCCATATTTTCTTCTCCCAAAATTCCTCTCTTACCACCAGTCCTGTCTTATAGGTGGTCAAGCGACCTCGCTCCTTAGGGATGTACATAGATTTGTCTTCAGTCCGAGCATTTTATCTACAACTAATCCAATTAACCTGAATCTTTTCCAAACTTCTGCACGTTAACTATGCTTGTCAAGACGGCCAGCACGCGAAGCAGATTAAAATGGGCATTTGTTGTGGTCAGATATTTATTCAAATAGTATTATTAATGTGATTTATCTAGCCGACTTAAGGGACCTTTTTGTGATGTTG